GTCTAGGATTGCCTTGCCCCAAGGCCCTTGTATTAGGCTCAAATCCGTCTGGAATGAAGAGTCCTGCCCAGCCTCTTTACAGGACTAATGACTTCTCATCCTTAAAGTCTCAACTCAAATGTCAGCTCTACAGTAAGCCATCCCTCACTGCTCTAAAACAGAACAGCTGCCCTGCACTGTTGCTCAGCATCTTGTTTCCTTTCTAGCACATCCACATAGCTTTATGGGAATGGATCTGTTATTTTTAATCTGGTGGGTCCACCAGACTGTAAGCTCTATGAGAGTAGGAATGAATATGCATTATTCAGCACCGTAATTCTCGGTGTCTAACACAATTCTTGGCATGGGCCTAAAAATGGTAATTAACATTTTTATTTCCTTAGTATGCCACATCTTCACACATACTGCTCCCTCTATGGGGATTACTGCCACCACTCTTGCCCTTCTCACACCCTGACTCATCTCTGTCTCAGCTAAAACAGCTCTGTGAAGCCGGCTGGCCTTCCTTCCTTGAACCCACCTTGGAAGACAGTCTCTCAGCTCCTTCACCTACTCAGCACAAGCTGCACCTCTAACACAGCACTGACCACACTGTATGTATCATACTCTGTTTTTTGTTTTTTTGGTGGGGAGGGACCTTGGAGGGGGTTTGTTTTGTTTCGCATTTCTGTCTCACTACTATTTTGAAAAATCTTAAAGTGAAGAAAAACCTCTATTTGTGTGTCCCAAGCACTTAGCCCACTACCAGGCACATAATACAGTACTACTAATTATGACAATACCGATAATGGCTAACATTTTTTGGGTGAGGGCTCAATATGTGCTTCACATTCTTAGTTCTATAGTGAGTGAGCAAATGAAGAAATGGATATGCTCCTTGGTCACCAACCCCAAAGAGTGCACAGTCTGACGGGGACAGAAGACAGGTATACAGGCAAATGCAGAATAAATTACCACCACCAGGCCAAATGAGCTGCTCTGCCCTGTCCCTGTGCCTTCAAATCGAAGAGTACGCTCTTCTCTGCATCCATAAATGTCATGTTTCCTCAAACGCACTTAGAATACTTCCTTCGATTACTTACAATCCACTTCCTGCCCTTGGTGCCTGGAAACAATTTCTAAGATGTCACCACAAGCAATATTAAACTGCCACACGGTTTCCTGCCGCACGTCTGCATTATCAGTTAAACTGCTTCATATTAACCACATTCTAGTCCTCCGGGACCACTCAAACACTAAATAAGATTTAAACGCACCTGTCGAAGACTGCCGGTTACCACTGCTCCTTTCACCCTCTAGATAAAGGGATGCTTTCCAGGGCACTACCTGCATCCTGGTGACAATTTCCTCCCTCGTCAAGTAAATATTTGGTTTGAAGCTGGACAACATTCCCTTATTTAAATGAACATGAACTAAAAAACACTCTTCAGAAAAAAAATAAGTAATTGTCGGCATAGACCAGGGCAGCTTGAGTTAAAAACATAAAAACTCTTTGTTCTCAAGAGGTTAGGTGGCAAACGATTCTTCTAACTCTAGGTGTACTCAACTCAGAGCCTTAGTTAGGATCTCAATTCAGATCCTAACATACTTCTTAAATCATTCCATAAATTCCATGGCAGGTACTGGGTCAAAGACAAAGACAGTTCCTGCTCTCAAGAAGTTTACGTCCGGCTGGGGCGCCTGGGTGGCTTAGTCGGTTGAGCGTCCGACTTTCACTTAGGTCATGATCTCGCGGTTCGTGGGTTCGAGCCCCGCGTCGGGCTCTGTGCTGACTGCCGGCTCAGAGCCTGGAGCCTATTTCAGAGCCTGTATCTCCCTCTCTCTCTGACCCTTCCCTGCTCACACTGTCTCTCTCTCCTAGAAATAAATTTTAAATTTAAAAAAAAAAAGAAGTTTACATCCGGCTTACTATGGAAGACGATCAAGGAACTGACTTTAGTGCTGTGATGGTGATAAACACAAGGGGCACCTGGCCTCTGCTGGGCAAGGGGAGCACAGATAAAGGGCACCTGACCTAGGCTGGAGACGATGCACAGCTGAGGGGCACCTAGCCTGGGCTGGGGAGGGGGATGTGGAGATGAGGGCAACTGGCCTAGGCTGGGGAGGGGCTGAGGGTGAGGAACCTGCATCAGGGCAGGCTTCCTGGGGATGGCATCTAATCTTAGGCAATAAACTCTCATCCTCTCATTTGAGAAACGTGGTAAAGTATCTACCTCATTGGACAGTTGTGGGGATTTGATGAAATGGTTCACGCAAAGCGATACCACCACGCCTGACACAGAGATTGTCCCCAACCAGCCTTAGCCTAAAAGTCTGATCAAGCACTACATCTCCACACTTGTGCCTAGCAACCCCTGCTTTACTGAGGCTACAAGAGACACCAGCTGCACAATTACACGCAATATTGTTTTCAATCAACTTTTATTTTTTAATAATGAGTGTTAAGTCCTGCTCGGTGCATTAACAGTCTAATTCCTTGATCATCAAAACTTTCATTTCTTGAAACAGGCCATTCCCTGACATTTCTGGCATAAAATATACTGTTTTTCTCAGTTTCTTGATAGAGAAGGTATAAAAGAAAACTAACAGTTACTCAATTTTTCAGCCGGGCCCAGCAATCACGTGGAAACTGCATTCACTGTTCATTAGGACTCTGCAGCATATTGGTCTCTCCCATTTTAACCCCCAGGGAAACTGAGGGTGAAAGAGGTAGTTGGTGCCAAGTTTCACAGTCAGTAGACCAAAGAACTGGAATTTGAACCCAGATCTGCACATCCTCGGCCTGACTGGGCCACATGGCAGCAGAGACAAGTAGAAATCCTGGCAGCCACAATGCCCTCCTGCTCCAAGGGGCCCCGGAGTGCTTGCTGTTCCCCACTCCCCACACACACACAAATCACCCCCCCCCCCACCAACCGTCCCTACACAACAGAGCTCATGCACTTAGATTTCAACTCAGGCAGCTCAATACCTTGAGCTGATTCTGTTCTTTCCTGTCAGAGTGGAACAGTCAAGTAGTGACCAAAGCACTACCTCTTCCAAAGATGAGGGCAGCATCTAAGTAGGTGGTCCCAAGCCACCTGTCCATCCCCAGGCCTAGGTGCGCACAGAAGCTTAGTCAAAAGTCACCATAAATTACAACAGTTTTTCAGAACTTCCCTTCCAGTCTCACTGCAGGCAAAGCAAACAGATTTCCCAAGCCTACGTTTTTTACCCCAGAGCAGTCTAGTTTCAAGACCAAGAAGGTTATTCTTTATACTAATTTCACACCTTAGCAAGTTCCCTTGCCCAAGTGCTCAGATAGAACAGCAATGGGTTCCACAAAAACGCACTTGACAAATGTTTGTTAACCCCGCAACCTTCAAGATCAAGAGAGAGACCTGATGCCTAGTCATGTGACCTTCCCACTTGGATTTTCATGCTGGCTCTGGTACTGACTCCCTAAGTTCGGCCGAGTTTCTGAACGCCTCTGTAACAAGGGTAAGCATCCTCACAAGCATGCTCTGGGACTGTAAGGTGGCTTCTGGAAAGTGTTTCTGAGTGCTACTGAAATCCAAGTTTACAACTCTTACTTGGAAGCAGGAGCTAAACTTGGAGCACGTCCTTAACCCCGAGGCTTCACAAACTACGTCTTTTTACCCCCGGAACCTCTTATGCTCTTGTTTGGAGCACACTTGTAACTTACTCCCATCGCTTCCACAAGAATGAACACTGTGCTCATCCACCCCTTCCATTATCATAAGCAAACTTTTCTAGCTTCATTAGCACATGTCTCAGGGCTGTCACGGCACATGAGGCATTTAGCGACTGGCCTAAGCCAGTCAGGGGACTACAAGGATGGGCAAAGGTCACCCTGCATGGACCTGGACTGGACATGAGAGGCAACATGTGAGTAAGTATTACAGTTCTTCCTCGAGGCCCTTCCCCTTTCAAACTTCCCAAGCAAAATTCTCAAAGTGCTGAAATAAACACATTCCGCAGACTTTCTTGCAAGCAGGTCTAAAGTGTCCTATGAAAACCGCTGAGGGAAAAGCCTATGCTGTCAATTTTAAGTGCCCTTAAACAATTCTATTACTCATAGAGAAAACCGAACATTTGTTAGTGATTAGAGATAAGGCATCTCATGTTCTGGAGCCGAGGAAGGGAGAGGCAGAAAAAGGACCCGGCTGGTAGGGGAGATAGGAGTCCAAAGCAACACACCCAAATTGGACTGCATAAAAGTTGCACTTTCCGAAGTCAACTTCTAGGTCTATAAGCAAGGCAACAATGTTTCCATGGGTTCTAAAGTTCCGTGTATCAACAATATCCCCGGAAAGCGAATCCCCCACCGAGGATTCCAGGTGAATGAATGAGTGAAGGAATTTGCCAGATTGGATTACAAAGCCTTTCCAACCACTATCAAGATCAGGTGCTCAATTACGACACAGAGGCATCTTCCTTCATAAGGAAGCCTTTGGCCCTCGCTCTGTGGAGACTTTCACAGATAAGAGAGGTAAAGGAGGAAAGAAAAAAGGACCCTCCTCCTCAGGCCATCCAGACATTAAATCCACCAGTGGCCCCTCTGAGAACCTCAGGCGACTTTCTGTGGGGACCGCAGGCCCAAAGCAGACCTCTCAGGACCTGCCCAACTCTCAGGGGAGCCCCAAACACACCCATTTGGGGAGTTGCTTCCGGAGATTTCTTGCCCTCCCCCCAACAGTTGTATGAGCATTATCAGAGATTCTGTTACCCGGGGGAGGGGGCCAGCTCGTAACCTCTGCGGCTCCCGCCCTCAGGTGAACAGGGGGCACCTGACCACCGGAGCCCTTCCACCCCACCGCGCACCCCGCCCCCGCGCCTCCCTAGATCGTCATGGCAACCGTCCCCCTCCCCGCGTGACGCCGGCACGCGGGGCGCCCCTCAGGCCCCGGCAACAAGTCCCCCGCGCCGCCCGCGGCCTGCAGCCCTCGCGCGGCCTCGCCGCCCCCGCGCCCGGCCCGGCTCCGCCCGGCCGCACTCACTTGATCCTGGAGCCCATGGTCCCCGGGCCTCCTCATGGGCCCGCGGGCCTCGCTCGGCGCTGCGCTGCCCGCCCGCCCGCGGCCGACCGGCCTCCCTCCGGCGCTCTCCCCGCCCCTTCCTCCCTTCCCTCAGGCTGGGCCCGCCCGCTCGCAGCTCGCTCCCTCGTCGCCGCCGCCGCCTCCCGGGGTTAATGTACTCGCTCCAGCCCGGCGAACGCCATGGTCGCCGGCGCGCGTACCCGGCGCGCACCGCCCCCTCCGCCTCTCACACAGCCACCTCCTCCTGTCCGCGCCGCCGCCGCCGCCGCCGCCGCCCGCGGGGGCTGCCGGGAAGTGTAGTCCGCTGCCGGGAGGCGGGATCGCCTGAGGGTGGAGGGGGGCGGGAAGGGCGCGTCTGTCCGCAGGACTCGCGGAGCTGGGTGCGCGGTGTTCCCGAGGTCCCCAAGAACCTCCCACCTCCCACACCGTAACTGCGTTCGGGTAGAAACCTCCACCTACAGTCCCCTGAAGAGAGACCCTCATCCCATAGACACTCCCGAGCTCACCTGAAGAAGCCTTCACTCATTCCTCCCCTTGGAGTCCTCCCGCCCAGTAGCTTTAGCGTTGAGATCATGTCTGCCAATCAGGCCTCCGTGAAAACACAAGTTTTCCCTTTTTTAAATGCCCTACCTTCCAGTAAGTTCCTTAAGGGAGCCACAGACCCTCTACTATCCACTTCCCCAGCATGGTCCGTGATGGAAGTCCTTCCTTTCCCCTTAGATCTGTAAGGAGACCTCACATACCCACAGGAACGCCTCCTGGGGGCTTCGTACTAACCCTTTAGTGGCTCTGCTCCTCTCTACCCTTGAGGACCTCTGCCTCCCTTTATAAGCCACTTGGGGGGTTCCAATGCAGAAAGGTCATGTCACCGTAACAGACCCTGACAGAGAGTAACTCAACGCCAGTGAACGTGTTTGAGTCAAGCACCAACCTGCTACCTGCTTCCTTTCCCCCGTGGGGCTCACTTTCATGAACACCTCAGTATCATTCCCTCTAAGCCTGGAGGAATCAAAAAGGAAGCAATAAAGACAGGTACCATTAGCTACTGTTCGCTGAGTGGGCGAGTGAGTGTTCTCACCGTACCAGGCACTATATTTCCCCTACGTGGTTAGCACCAATCCTCACAACAATCTAGTGAGTTTACAGCACACACACACACCCCTCCACCTCCATTTCTCAAAGAGGAAAGGTTGCATAACTAGCAACTGATGATGGAGCGGAGATTGGCATCCAGGCTGAATACTTCCAAACGCATGTGACATAGTTATACTTTAGGATGGCACCTTTGGCCACAAGTCAGAAAACTTACTAAGTTCATGGTTCACTTTTTAAATTAGTCTTTTCTTTCTTCTTCTTCCTCCTCTTCTTTTTCTTTTACAGTTTTCTGTCCTAAGATGCTAACCATTCCTACTGCCATTTTGGCTCTTGTAAATTGGTGAGGTGTCTCCCCACCCCTCAATCCCTACAGTAACTGGTCCTAGGTTCCAGCCAGGCAGGGAGCAAAGAAAACAAGAAAAGCTGCTGCTTTTGGAGCTATAGTCGGTATAAAAGTAATTTCTCTTTTACCTATGCTCTGAGATTGTTGAATGACCTTTTTTTAAATTAAAGCAAAAAAAAAAAATTGAAAATCCAAACCGCCATTTTGAATTCAAAGTCTTTTGCACCCAGACACCAATACCAACTTATAAACACCCCCAGGAACAAAACTCTGCTAGACAGGCAGGGCCTCTGTGGTGTTTATTCACCTTGTTTCTTATGAACCCTCTCCAAAGAACAGTTGTTATCAAGATCTTCTCTGGAATGAGCAGCCAGTTCAAAAGCTCTGAGCATGAGACTATAAATAAAACAAAGTTATTTGGTGGAGGGCAAAGCTGGCTGCCTTTCAAAGGAGGCTGTAGCCATCCTGGCCACAAAAATGTCTGGGTGCCTGCTGGGTCGTGTGTGTGTGTGTGTGTGTGTGTGTGTGTGTGTGTGTGTGTTGGAGAGGAAGACTGGAGGTGGGCTTGGGGGGTTATGTATCTGTCCAGGTGGCCTCTGAGACTACAGGGTGGTCTGGGGAGAGAGCATTGAACTGGGAGTTGGGAGTTTGGCTTCTAATGCTAGCTGCACCACTGTCTAGCAGAGCAATTTAAAGCAAATGATCAGAAAATTGCCTGCTTCAGTTTCCTCCTCAGTAAAATGGCTATAGAGGCTATACAGGGTAAAGAAGAACTCATATCATAAGAGAGAGTATAATGTAGGAGTTAGGAGCCAGATCTGGAGTCAGGCTGCCTGAGTTCAAATCTCAGCTCTACCTTTTACTAATTGCGTGCCCTTGGGCAAGTTATTCACTCTCTCTGTGACTCAGTTTCTCTGTCAGTAAAATGGAAATGATGGTAATGGATCTTACTGAGTTGACCTGAGATTTAAATGAATACATGACATTTATAAAGTATTTAAACAGTGACTAGTTTATAGAAAGCACGCAAAAATTATCAGCAACTATTACACGCACAACTCAGCACATTTTGCTTTTATGATTAATAGTAATAATCTTCATAATAAATAGTCCTGTACTTAGAAGATCAGGAGACCTGAGTTTCCAGCCCAGAATGCCATTGTTTATATTCTGAATCACAATTTAGTTCAACTGTAAATGATAGAAGACTCAAATAACTGTGACTGAAAAAAAAGTTTCCCTTTCACATAAAGTCTGGAGATGTGCCTTCCAAAGCTATTATGGCAGTTCCCTAATGCATACTCTAAGATTTGAAGGCCCAGAAACAGGACAGGGCAGTTGATCTGGTGTTGCGATGGTGTTTACTCTGCATTAGCCTGTATGCCTGTCCTGTCTGTGTCAGACTCTTTGAGGCTGGTGACCCAGAATTCTATCTCGTTGCTCCCCTATTCTCCCAATCTTCTACCCTGTGGTCCAGGAGAGCTACTTGAACTCTAGCCATCTAATCTGCAACCGAGCCAGCAGGAAGAAAGTAGGTCATGCCCCATCTCAACCCATCTTTAAGTCCCCTTCCCTGGACTTCCTCACACCACTTCTGTTTACATTCTATTGGCCAGAACTCAGTTATACAATCACATCTCATTAGGAAATATAGCTCTTTTTTCTTTTTCAGACAATCATGCGCACAGCTAAAGGGGGTCATTCCCAGGGAAGAAAGGAAGAACAGACAGTGCAAGACAACCTGCAGACTCAGCCAAGCTGTGTGTGTGGCTATATGACCTTGGGCAAGTTACTGTGTTTCTCTGGGCCTCAGTTTCCCTATATCCAAAGTAAGAGAGTTAGACCAGACGACCACTCTTCAAAGTCCTTATCAGTTCTAAAAGTCTATAATTCATTGGTTTATTGTTTTATAAACCTAGGTAAATCTGATGTTATTGAAATAAAAGGAGGCCTCTCTGCCAAGTACATGGCATGATCGATTGTTGGGATTGAAACCTTCCGGTGATGGGGAGGGGGTTGGGAACTTTGCCTTCTGGACTGTTGTCAAAATAGGCTACACATACCTGGCAGATAAATAGTCTAACAGTATGTGTGATACCACCCACACAGACACTTTGATGCTCCTGTTTCCAAGCCTGCCCCCACTCTCTGTACCTGTTTGGGTTTTTTTTATTTTAATTTTTAATGTTTTGTTTATTTCTAGGAGAGGGAGAGAGAGAGCGTGAGCAGGGGAGGGTCAGAGAGAGAGGGAGTCACAGACTGAAACAGGCTCCAGGCTCTGAGCTGGCAGTCAGCACAGAGCCCGACGCGGGGCTCAAACCCACGAACCACGAGATCATGACCTAAGCGAAAGTCGGACGCTTAACCGACTAAGCCACCCAGGCGCCCCCCTGTTTGGGTTTTTCTGCTTGGGATTTTGAGTTCTTTTTCTACCTAGGGAAGGACAGCAACCCCGAAGATCTCTAGCACCTCATTAACAATACAGTATGAAAGAGCAGGACGTATGGGTCAGTGGTAAGTTGTTCCTAGTATACTGAGTTGTGATTGTATATATTTTTCAAATTCATATGCTATAAAATTCACCATTTTAGGGGCACCCAGGTGGCTCATTCGGTTAAGCATCCAACTTTAGCTCAGGTCATGATCTCATAATCTGTGGGTTTGAGCCCATATTGGGCTCTGTGCTGACAGCTCAGAGCCTGGAGCCTGCTTCGGATTCTGTGTCTCCTTCTCTCTCTGCCCCTCTCCCGCTCATGCTTGCTCGCACGCGCGCGCTCTCTCTCTCTCAAAAATAAATAAACATTAAACAATTTTTTAAAATTCACCTTTTTAATGTGTACAAGTCAATGGTTGTTAGGATAGTCACAAAGTTGGACAACTATCAGCACTGCTTAACTTTGTTACACTTCATCATCCCCCAAAAAACTCTGTACCCATTAGCACGCGCTCACTTTTCCTGCCCTCCCCACAGCCCCTGGCCCTGAATCTACTTTCTGTCTCTATGGATTTGCCTATTCTGGATATTTCATACAAGAGGAATCACATAACAATGTGACCCGTGCTGTCTGGCTTCTTTTACTTCCATAATGTTTTCAAAGTTTATCCATGTTGTATTACCTCTAGATACATCATTCTTTTTTATTGTCATATAATATTCGATTATGTTAATAGACCACATTTTGTTATTGATGGACATTTGGGTTGTTTCCACTTTGGGGCTATTATGAATAGTGCTGCTATGAACATTTGCATACAAGTTTTTGTGCAGACATACGTTTATAATTCTTTTGGGTGTTACGGTTATATTCTTTGGAAAAATCCACAGCTCATTAATAGGGGTGCTGGTCCCCTTACCCAAAAAAGAGGGACTTACATAATGAAGTAAGTTTGGAATATACAGAGCCATGTCAAGTTAGATAGTTTTCTTCCCAGAACATCTCATGGATATTCATGTAGCAAAGTGTACTGTGGATCTCCTAAGAGGGGAGGGCAGGCATTCCCAGTGGATAAGAGAATGGATTCTGGAATCAAGCAGACCCAGGTTGCTAGTTGAGTGAATTTGGAGAAAGTTACCTAAACTCTTTGAGCCTTAATTTTCTCTTTTTTAAT